TGAGCCCACCTGGAGGCATCTTAGAAGAAGGATGGTGTGGTGTCCTTCAAAAAAAACCAGCGCATAAAATCCTACGGAACACAGTTTTCCTGACACCAACACATATGGGGTCACAGTGACTTAGACTCAGTCACAACCAGAGAGCCCAGAGGCCTAATGGCAAAGAGCTGTGTTGCCAGCTGCTCTGTGGGAGAAAGACGGGCAGTTTCCTCCTGTGTGATTTGCTGCCTCTAAAAATCTGCTGGAGGATTAGCTATGGGACTGTTCTGACTCAATGGGACAAAACAACAACAGCCACAAGTGGTTTAAATTAGGAAAGAAGGGTACTTTAATACAACACCAAACTCTTAAGCATTCAAGTTGCCCTACTTTCAAATCTTTTACTAAAACTCACCAAAATGCAAGGTCAATGTAGTATGGCCATAAAGAAATGTGGCACTTATATTCTTGAAACTGTAAAGTTCTCAGGAGGAGCAAACAGCCGCTCAACTCCTAGCTGCAAGGCTGGAGGTTCTAATCCACCCAGAGGGGACTCAAAGGATAAACTTGGGGACCTTCGTCTGAAAGGTTGTTGTTGTTGTTATGTGCCATCGAGTCGCTTGCGACTCATAGCGACCCTATGTACAACAGCCCTAAACTCTGCTCTGTCCTGTGCCAATCGCACTGTCTCTGACACTCCCATCCCAATTATCCCAGTCACTGAATCAATCCACCTCATAGAGGTCCTTCCTCTCCTGCGCTGTCCCTCCACCCTCCCAAGCATGATGTCCTTCTCCAAGGACCTGTCTCTCCTCACAACATGTCCAAAGTATGTTAGACGGAGCCTCAGAATCCTTGCCTTCAAGGAGCCACCCGGTTTAACCCTTTGCAGGACAAATCTGTTTGTTTTCCTAGCAGCCCATGGTATTCTCAATACTCTTCTCCAGCACCACAGCTCAAAGGCATCAATTCTCCTTCTATCCTCCTTGGTCATTGTCCAACTCTCTGATGCATAACAAGTGATTGCAAAGACCGTGGCCTGTATCAGACGCACCTTAGTCTCCAGAGAGACACCACTGCTCTTCAGTACTTTGGAGAGGTCCCTAACAGCACACTTTCTCATGGCAATGCGCCTTTTAATTTCCTGGCTGCCAGGTGCTAAGACTGTTGACTGTGGAGCCAAGCAAACTAAAGCTGTGTACAATCTCAATCTCTTCCCCATCCATCCTGATGCTGCCAATTGGTCCAGTGGTGAGAATCTTTGTCTTCGTGACATTGAGCCTCAATCCATATTGTAGGCTGCAGTCCTTGACACTCTGCAGCAGGCGCTTCAGGTCATCACTGAAAACCCAAGGGGACCCAGTGCCACTTACACACGTGTAAGTCACTATGAATCAGAATCAACCCAAGAACAACAGTAATATCTCACTACTCACCCTCTGAACTCCATGTTTATTTAAATAGTAAATAAACCTTAAAAAAAAACACCAAACACAGACAGCATGCAAGTTAATACTAAAAATGGGAAATACAAGTAATCCTAGTAATTTAACATAAAATCTACAAATACCTTCATGACAACAGACTTTCAATTAGTCCACATTCAGGGATTAGAGGGAAGGAGTTAAATCTTCACAAACCAAGAAATTAAAATTATCTATTACATTTCTTTCCACCTTATTTTCTCACCATCTCTTCACATGTACAAATAAAACATCTTTTCCAAAAAGAAGACAAAACCTAGAGAGGCAGATTAGAATTAAACTTCCTCTTTGGGAAAATATTCACTTTTTTAAAAAAAAAAGAAAGAGAACAAATTCAGTAGATACATGTCCCGGGAGAATCTTTAAAAGTATGTATCATAAGTAGTAGAGCCCTTCATCTTAACCTAGACTAAAAAAAAAATCTCTTTTCTATCTATAAATTTAACCTGTTCCATGAGACATCACAACTGTAATTAAAAGAAATAAAAAGTGTCCTGGAGGACTAACAGGCCCATTCAAATCCAAATTTATCTACTGGCTTTTGTAACATAATCCAACCAAAAGAATGCTGATTCACAATTCAGATATGCAACAGCTAATTTTTCAGTGTGTTTTGAAGTAGATGCCACATATACAAAAAGTAATAGTCACAGCCTTGGCATGATAATATTCTAAGCAACTTGAGAGCCCTTTAAAATGGACAACTAGGTAATACAAGTTCACTAAAGAACTTGAGAAATTACATAACAGCAAAATAATAAAAACTATTAACTCTAACATAACTAACATGCAGAGGTGACTACTGTTAACATTTCAGGATGTACACTGTTAACTGGTTTTTTCCTTGTTTTACAAAAAAGTTGTTCACATGAACGAGTTAATAATGCACATCAACAGATTAAGAACGTATCATATTGTTGTATGCTGTCAAGTCCGAATTGGCTCACAGCTGACCCTCTAGTGGGTTTTCAGCAGCAGTAAATAGCACATGGGGGGAGAGACTGCCAGCCATCTCTCACAGAGCAGCTGATGGATTCAAACCACATGCCTTGGGGATTGCAGTCCAGCTTTTTACCACTAAGCCACCAGAGTTCCCTCTGTATAAAGGTAACAGAATCTACTTGGTAAAAATATGATTTAGTTTTCTTTTACATACTTGTTTAGATACAAGAATGACTATTATACATACTAATACATGCTATTATATATATTATAGATATAGATATATAGATAGAGATAGAGAGATATATATACACACATCCTTCTTATATGTCTTTGCTTATTCTCCAGGGGGAAAAAATGGATAAAAACAGGCTCTCAAGGCCAGTTTAAACACACATGTTTAAAATATGTTTTGTCAAACTATCCCCAAGCAGTGTATGAAAACTGTCACTCTTTTAAAATAATAATTTTAAGCTTACTGTTTTGAAATATATGTCCTAAAGTTAGTATTTTTAAAGTTATTTAATTACTCCTAAGGACATAAAGTACATAAATACAAATACCAATGGTCTAATAATAATGGAAACTAAAAAAATGTTTTAAGAATACATCTTTTCACAATTCATAGATGATAGCAAGCAGAGATGACATAAATTATCTGTGTTCCCTTTTACTGTTACATTTATGTATTTCTGGATATGCATTCTGAACTCTTAAGAGGATATTAATAATCGTTTTTATCTACACAGTATTCTATACTAGCAAGTTATTTAAAAAGCAAAGCAATTTTAGAAGAATAAAGAACATCCTCGCACCATGTCTTAAAACAGGATATTAAGCTGTACCCCCAACAGACCCCTCAACTTACACAATAATCACCATATAGTACAGCCAAGTCTATAATAACTAATGTCCTTACCAACTAGCTAGTATCATAGGGGGAAATGTATCTCTTAAGATAGTTTCTTTCAATTCCTATTTCTATAGTTTGAAATAATTAAAAAAAAAATACACTCCTAATTTAAGATAAGGAAGCTATGGTAGCCTAGCGGTAAAATGCTATGCTGTCATTCCAAAGGCATGTAGTTTGAATCCACCAGCTGCTCCGTGGGAGGATGGGCAATGTCCTCCTATGCCTTTCACTGCCTCTGAAAACCCTCTGGAGGGTCCTCTCTGGGCGGGTCCTGACTTGACTCAAGGGTACACAACAAAAACAATGTAAGACAAAGTTGACCTACATGACCACAACAAAAAAGTCTTGGGTTCCTTTCTGGTTTTCAAAGCGGCCCTGGATGTAATTGTATATTTCAAAGCAACTCTCTCAAAGTTAATGAAGTATAGTGTTCATTCTCAAAGCAGGGCTCTGGGTGATTTCCAAAGCTCAGAAGTGTTCAGCCTGTTCCATCAGCTCCCCACTAAGCCTGCAAACTTGGTCAGAGGCACAGGCTCTTCAGACGAAGGAGAACTTCCCAGCAAGTCCACCAGGACCTGAAGCCATCATTCAGGGAAGCATCAGGTTCAACAGCCTGTGTGTACTCCTGGCTTTGTCTCAGAATCATATCTGAAGCTTGTTTCGTAAAAATACAGAAATTCTCATTCAATAGATCTGAAGTGGAGACAAGGTAACTCTGTAATTTTATAAAACTCCCCAACTGGTGCATGTGTGCAGCCAGAGTCAAATAGCAATCAGCTATTTTAAAAAGTTGGAGGCAGTGGCGGTCTACGCAGGTCTGATTAAGAGGGTCATGTGAAAATCATGAATCTCTTTTCATCGAGTTTATTAGATTACCTAGGTGAAAACCATGACTTTAAGGGCACATAAAGAATTTCAAAAAGGAAGTCAAAGGTTGAGCGAAGACATCAGATAATAAAGTAAAAAACTAAGAAGATCTATCCTGCCAGAAACTATGGTACTTCTTAATGTAATCATAGACTTCCTTCAATTTCAGGAGATGAGGGGGAGAAAATCATTTAGGTTACATGTTAGGCTGGGAAAGGTAAGGTTGGTGGTTTGAATCCACCAGCTACACCATAGATGACAGTGAGGCTATCTGCTCCCAGTAAGGTAATTGAGGGTTATAGTAAATCAGAACTGACTGAACAACAGCGGGCTTGATTTTCTTCAAAATGAATTGCAACTGGGTCACCGTTTCACTGGGCAATGGCCGTCAACACAAGAAGAGACAAAATCAGGGTAAGGAAAAAAAAAATCAGGGTAAGGAACAGACAGGACACGTAGAGACACTACATTTTACAACAGAATCATCATTCGTCAAGAGTTAAGCTTCCCAATAAAGGAGCCCAGGTGGTATAGCACTGCTAACAAAAACAAAACAAAACTGCTGAACAAAAGGTCAGAAGTTCAAATCCCACAGCTGCTCAGAGAGGGAAAGACGCGCAGTCTCCGTCCACGAAGATTTCAGCCTTGGAAGCTGAGCAGTCAGACTTGGAGTTGACTGGACAGCAGCGGGTGTAAGCGTCTCAGAAGTAGGCTGCTTCACAGAAAAGATGCAAAAAACCAAGCCGAGCAAGGCTGTATCTTCTAAACAGTCTGCAAATAACAATGCACAAATTTCTTAAGTTTCCATTACCTACCAGATCTGCACTTAATGATGTCACTAAACTCATTCTGTCCATCCTCGGGCTGGGCCTCGTGTTCTCCGTACTTGGCCATCTTTGGTCAGCTTCAGTGTAATCCAAAGGCTTTATCAGGTCTTCTTTTTAAGACTTTCTATTTTCTACAATGGTCCAACTTGACATCAATACCTAAAAAGAAAAGGGAAAATATTAAGCTCATACACACTGTTCCTGTTGCTGTTAGGCCCTCTGTGGCTCACAGCAACCCCACGAACAAGAGAGCTGACCTTCTCCTGTCCTGTGCCATCACAATGATCTCTAGCTAGCAGCCATTAAATCAGGCACTTCCACTGAACACACACCCCTCTCCGCCACTCCCCAATTCAGGGCAATTCGCGCACAACAGAACGGGACACGCCTGGTCTTACACCAGCCCCTCTGTCCGCTGTGAACAGATCTATAGTGATCTGCAGGGTTTTCTTGAGCTGATTTTCAGAAGTCAATCTTCAGGCCTTTCCTCCTAGTCTGTCTTAGGCCAGAAGCTCTCCTGAAACCTGGTCAGCATCACAGCAGCTTACAAACCTCCAGTGACTGACATGTGGTCACTCCGCATGAGATGCACAGGCGTGAAATCAAACTTGATTCTCCTACGTGGAAGATGCAAATTCAATCACTCAATTAACATGGCTCTCTTGAACTCATATCAATACATACATCCATACACATAACCGTATAATAGAGTAACAAAAAGTATTTACTGAATGCCTGATGGCCTTCTGGTATGAAGCTGTGCTGCACTCCCAAAGGCAGGCAGTTCAAATCCACTAGCTTCTCCATGGGAGAAGGATAGGCAATCACCTCCCATGTGATTAACTGTCTCTGAAAACCTGCTTGAGGGTCAGCTATGAGTCAGCTCTGACTTGAAGGCACAAACAACCCTGTGTAAATAAAAAAATGTCTCCACAGACATGGCCAGACACCCCCTAGGGAGGCAAAAGCATCCCAGGCTGACGTGGATTACTGTAAGAGGGAGCTCTGGTGGTCTAGTGGCAGGAAGCTACACTGCAATCCCCAAGGCATGCAGTTAAGAGTCCACCAGGCGCTCTGTGGGAGAAGGATGGGTAATCTCTTCCAGTGCGATCAAGTGCCTCTTAAAACCTGCCACAGAGTTGGTTATGTGTTGGCTCTGACTCAATGACACACAACAATAACCTTGTATAAAGAGAACACAGGGCATGCAGCCTGCGACTTGAACTGCTAACACAAAAGTGGTACCTCTCTGATGGTTCAATTGTACCAATGACTCCAAGGAAGAAGGAAAGATAACCTCCTTTGTGATTTATGGCCTCCAAAAACCCCGTGAAGGCTCCACTACGAGTCAATTCCGACTTGAAACAATCTTTTGTCATCCTGTGTAAAAGGAACTCAGGTGGTTGAGCCTCTGGTGTATTTCACTTCTAACCAAAAAGGCTGAAGGACTCAAAGCAGCTGGGATCCACCAGTCAATATGAAAAAGAAAGCTGGGCAGTCTCCCACATTAAGATTTAGAGCCTTACAGCACAAGATAAACAATCCAATCACAAAATAGGCACAGGATATGAACAGACACTTCACCAAAGACATTCAGATGGCAAATAAGCACATGAAGAAATGTTCAAAATCTCTAGCTCTAACAGAGATGCGAATCAAAACAACTATGAGATATCATGTCACCCCTATAACAGTAGCAAAATTCAACAGAGCAAGAAACAACAAATGTTGGCGAGACTGTGGAGAAACTATTGGTGGGAGTGCAAAATGGTGCAACCACTATGGAAGGCAGTATGGTGCACTCTCAAAAACTTGGAAATAGAAATACCATTTGACCCAGCGATTCCACTACTGGGAATTTACCCTAAAGAAACCAGAAGTGTCACCTGAGATATATGCACACCCATGTTTACTGCTGCTTCACAATAGCAAAGAGATGGAAACAACCCACGTGCCCATCAACAAATGAATGGATAGAGAAGCTGTGGTATAGTCACACAATGGAATACTATGCAGCATTGAAAAACAAGGAGCTCATGAAATACTGTACAAAATCGGTGATCCTGGAGGACATTATGCTGACTGAAACAGCTCAGTCACAAAAGGACAAATACTGTATAACGCCACTATTATAAAACAGAACTGATATAGGGGTTGGGAAAAAACTAAGAAAAGAGGGGATACATAATGTACACCTCACTGAAACAGATAAGGGAAAGAACTGCTTAAAAGGAATATATGGTTAGGTATTATTTGCATGACAATAGTCCAGAATAAGAGCTACACAGCAAAGTGGACTAGGAAGGGGGTAACTATACAACAAAGAAAGAATTTTTTTTTTCTCAAAGAGAAGAGTGAACTGGAAGGGGGGTGGCAAAGAGGAAAATGTGCAATAATGAATAAGTGGAAATCTATGTTCTCTATAAACTTTCATGAAAATCTCAACGAAAAGAAAAGATCTACAGTCTTAGCAACCCCACCAAGGGTAACAAGTGTGTCACAATTAGGCTGATGGCAGTGGGTTCAGGCTTTGAGAGAATCAAACAGAATACGGCTAGGAATGAGAAACACAGGCCCTTCCTGCAAAGAGCTGCCAGTGACCAAGCCAACAACAGAAGAAATTATTTCATCACAAAACCTCCGTGCTACATTTATATAAGACAAAGAGTTGGAAGATGAGCAGAGGAATCTGGCCTACCCAGCAAACCAGAGAAAGCTTTCTAGAAAATGAAATATTTGAGCCAAGACTTCAAGGATGAAAAGGAATCAATCCACTAAAAAAAGGGCAATGAAAAAGATAAGGGCTTCCAACGAGGAAGATTCAAGGAGCACCGGAGGAGTTGGGCAAAGGTTTAGATGACAAAACCAAGAAAAGTAAATTCAGAAACAGACAGGGCCAGGGCCAAGGTCTTGGGGGCATGCCACAGCTTGTGATCTTGATCTTAAGAGCAGTGGGGATCCAACAGATCCTTCTAAACAGGGGTGTGATCAAATTTGCCTTTTAAAAATTATCTTTGCTTCGACGTGTACCAGAGCAATAGCTATGGAATCAATTAAAATTACGGCAGAACACAGCAAAGTGTTCACTGAAGAACCTAGGGCATAGGTGTGTGAGTTGTTTTTATGTTGTTGCTCTGAGCCATCAAGTCTTCTGCAATTCATAGTGACCCTATGTACAACAGCCTTAAACCCTGCTCTATCCTGTGCCAATCTTACTACCTCTGACACACCAACCCGCATTACCCCAGTTGCTGAAATCAATCCATGTCATCAAGGGGACTGAACAGAATTCTTCCAACTCTTGGGTACATTTACATCTTGTCATAATAATACATTCCAGGTAGGTAAGCTAACCTTAACCTTGACAGGAGCCAGGATAGTCCTAGATCCAAAATGTGAATCTACATAGTTAAGATGTTGTATCAACTGACAGATTTTACTCTAAAAGATACATCTATGAATTCTGCAGAGTGTAAATACCACTCAAATAAAATAAGTTTGATCCTTAGTTAAATGCCTCTTAAGAATCTGAAGAGTTAAGATACAAACCTATCTTTATTACCGGATGCCAGTGGCTGGGGCACTGCATTACCCAAACTGTTCCTGGAATATACCACCCTCCCCCCACCAGCAACCAACACAGAACCAGATTTGACTTTAGACTCTGCAACTTGACTCTATTCTATCAACAGTCCTTTAAGAATACTTCAACTGCCAATTACATCAATTAATCATGCAGTCATTTATACAGATTAATCAAATATTCATCTGTGGATAAAACCAAAAACATAAACCCCACTGCCTTCAAGGACAGTCAATTCGAACTCAAAGCAACCCTATCGAGGACAAGGAGACCACCGTGAGCTTTATAGAATCCAACTTCCACATCTTTCCCCCATGAAACTAAAGGGTTCAAACCACCAACTTCTCAGTTAGTAACTGAGTGCTTAACATGGCACCAGCAGAGCTCTAGAATCTTTGGAAAATGGATATTAATTCATACACTACAGCAGAAATCAAAACTAAAGTTTACTACTTGAAAATTAAAAGATATATTGCAATGGGAAAGTTGTCTGTTAGGGACCTCTCCAAAGTTCTGAAGAGCAATGGTGTCTCTCTGGAGACTAAGGTGCATCTGATACAGGCCATGGTCTTTGCTATCACTTGTTACGCATCAGAGAGTTGGACAAT